ACCGTCTAACAATAGTTTTCACTTCTAACGTGAAACTTGAACGGCAAGTATTTCTTGATAGTAGATAAACCTCGTCGCTTCTATTGCCATGTTCATTTATCTCCACATTCAATAGAACAAAATGTAGATACGATTTTGAATTAAGCTCTCTTGAAATGGACTATAATATTCTAATTAAAGAAATTAATTGAACTTCACTATCTTTGTTATTCATCTCAGAGTACTGGCAACTTAAATATAATAAGTATACATAACTGCCAATGTAATATTGCGACTTAGTTCTTAAACACATTTGTTTAAAACTAAGTTGTTTATTCTAAAAATAGAACAAAATTAGTCCTAAATATAATTTTGTTTCAATAAATTCACAAGTTTTGAATAAGAAATATTAAAATAAACTAACTGCCATATGTTATAAATTTAAATAAACAAGATCTTACGTAGTTTCAGACAAATTTTCATTCATTTAGTTTAACAGGGAAAACTAATTTAGTGTAAGCTTATTTATACTTCATCAAAAGCCAGACACCTCTTACAAAGAAAATTATTCAGCATTTAGACACTACAAATGAACCGTGTTTCATAAAAGATTTTGTTGAAACACAACTTAAAGTACCTACTAAATACTTTAATTAATACCTCTCAATTTGTATAGATTGTTGTTTTCAAATCCAACCTACAGAAAATCTACAGAACAAATACGGTCTTATTATAGGAGAGGACTAACTTTAGTACCAGTTTTCAACTATAATTCAACCAAAATAAATCCTTACGTCTGAAATTGACGTTTTCTATTCGTCATTGTCAATTTGCTTTAGTCGGTCAATGGTTGAAACGAAATATTAACTTTAGTACTTATCTTATATTAAGACGGTTAAAGTTCGATTATATCTACATAAATTGATCCAGACACATCCTAGCACAGACACGGTTGGATTTATTCACAGTATCCGGCAAATAGTCACAAACAACGTACAGACATGAACCGTAAGACAAATTCGAGCACTGGCCAGGTACGGTCCATACCATGTCCGTGCCTGAACATATCTTGCACGTTTATTGTTCGTAGATATAATCTTCTTCTTCAAGTGGCTTTCTACTAATGGAGATTTTCTATTAGCTAAGCGAATTTGTCTCTCTTTTGTGTCAAGCGTAAAAGTGCTACGACGTTGCCCATCTTAATCTGTTCTTGGACGTTTCACAACCATGACTTTTTTATACTATCAACGTATCATTTTACCCATTACTTTCCTCATCATAAGCTGAATTAGCTGGTATCTTTCATCCCTTAAAACATGGCCAAGGTAGCCTACTTTTCCTTTCGTTTGCATTAACTCTTGGGTCTTATCAAAGCGTTGGAGAAGTTGTACATTGGTTACTTTTTGTGTCCAATTTAAGCCATCCTCCGGTAACACCTCATCAGAAACGCATACGCATAATAGAATAAAAAAATATAAAAATTAATAGAATAAAAAAAAGAAACATTCCACCCGTTTCCTCAAGTTTCGTAATGCGCTATTACGATTTTTCATTAATTCACACTATCGAATAATATAAATAGAAATATACCTAACTCCTAAGTAACAAACTTTTCGAAACGGTCGTATTAGCTTCTATTATTAAGCCAAATAAGACTCGTTTATCACTCGTTACTGTTTCCATGGTTTCCACCTATGTAAATAACCTTTAGCAAATGGAAAACCATAGTGATATTTACTTCCATGTTACAATCGATGCGTCCCTCCAATTCAAATAAAAAAGATCTTCGCAATTTCTTTTTACGAGTATGTGACAATAAATTTTAATTTTCGATATTCACAGTCAACGCTGACCATGTTTCGATTGGATTTGAAGAAATATTAGATTGTTTATAAAAAAAGGGTTGGATATTTTAGAATTCATTATCCACATTTATGTATTTGTATTTTTCGTTTATTTTGAAACGGGTTCAATATATGTTATGAAGAAAGCCATGAAAGAAAAGAAACGTGAGAGAGCTTTGCAACTAAATAAGGAATAAAACAATAAATAAAATTTTCTTCTCTTTTATATAGTTTGTAAATATATATAAACATTTTTAATTAATTTATGAGACAACTATTATTACCCATAGTTCTAGATTGTAGTCCAGAACTAATTATACTCGTATTGTCAAATATATATTTACTTTTTGTGTCTGTAATCTGTTTTGTGTGCCTGTATAAATAAATAAAGAAAAAACTTCTAGACCTTACCTCTATATTAGTATACCTTATAACACACCAAGTTAGGTCAAATGTTGCAAGCTAAATTTGACCCACTTTTCAGTTTTCTATTGAGCTCAAATTTTGCATGAAGAATAAATAAATAAATTTAAAAAGCTGTGGAATCTCTGTTATTGGATGAATATCATATTATTCTTGATGACTGAGAAGGGCTTATTTATTTAGCCTAGACAAAGATATTAATGGGAGATACTAACAGGGTCTGGTGTTTTTTTTTATTTATTTTTAGGGGTAAACAAACAGTAATACAATTTACATTGTTATTACAAAATTAAATAGATGAGATATAATTGTACACCAACAAACAAACAAGATTACAAGTGGTCGCACATTAAGTTTTTCAAAATCCACAGGAGAGCTTTTAACTATAAATTAAAATCTTACAATTTTACAGGATAATTGACATTACTTTGCAAAAGCATAAAACTTACGTTTATTAAATTCTGTATTTATTAGGTACAAACAACAGAGAACCAAACAAAAAATAGACAAAAAAAAATAATATTGACTGAACTGAAAAGTGGCCATTGTAACTTTATAATTAAATATCGTAACCTCGTCGAGTTTAAACTGATTGACTTTGTTTATATAAGTACTACTTTTCCTAGATAATATTCAAAGTGTGTTTGAAATCAAAATGAGAAGAACCGGCAAAAAACTCAGCAAGGGCTGCTCTTTTCTTCGTTTTATTTCATACAGAGAATTATTATTGAACACTCACTTCATTAGACTATAAAGTCACTTTTTATTATAATATCAGACAAAACAAGACAGACATTTTCGATTACTGATAAATGTAACGGTTGCCGAGTCATACATACTTATTGACAAATTAATATATAGTATTCATAATAAAAGATAATGGACGAAATTAAGTAGTCCAGAGCAGACTCATCCCCACTGGCGTTTTGAAAACCTTACTACGTTTACCGCTTTAATTTTTTTTTTATAAAACTGTTTTTAATTAATGTTTACATCTTATTCAAGCGAATATATTTAGTTTTAGTAAAGTATCCGTAAGAGCTATTAATATAAATATTCGTATAATGAATTGATTCGTGTTATTATAAACTACTTACACAACAATTAGAATTAGAAATAATACAAATCAATTCATCTTAATCTAAAAAGAAATCGATTTTTAAGCAAGAGTGATTGATTGAAATCGATAATTGAATATATTTATACCTACGATTGTACGTGAGGAACGAGTACATTTTTGGACAGAGTAATATCCAAATGATATATGGGTCACATTACTGAAAATCCATTGTGTATGTAATATCATTACTGTTAAAAAATTTCAAATACATAATGTTGATGTGTAAGTAAATTTGCAGTTAATCATTTATAAAAGTATAAATTATGGCAGAATATGGCAAGCACTAGACAGCTTGGTATAGACACGTGTCCATGATGAGATGAGACGTTTGAAGGCTTCTGTTCGCAATTATAAGAGCCCAATATTTAAGAACGAAATTCCCGAGTAGATGACATCAGGTCTGTCGTCAGACTCTGGTATTTATCTCGGACCAAAGTCCTTGTCAAACGAACTCCTTCTCTGGCCAAATCAATTTCAGTTTATATTTATATTAATTGTGATCCAAATGAAGGAGAAACATCCATTAAAAATGTTAGCTCAATCCAAACCCGAAAATTGGATCCTTAATCTGCAAGATATGACTCACGTTAACTAACTAGACGAGAAGCTGTGTGGTGTAGTTTATAGGTCCACAACCCGAGAACGTTATTGTTAAGCAGCTATCGTAACGGTGACCAAAAAATTACAATCCCGAGCTAGCCGTGCTTCGAAAGGTACGTTAACACATTGGTCTTGGCTGCATTAACAGTCGCTACTACCCTCTAATACGCATTGAGCCAGCATGAAAGATTATGGTCCATCCTCCTTAACTATTCATAAGGAAGGCCTGCATTCCTCAGTAGGTAAGTAACGTAAGAGGGCTGATGATGAACTAGCACGACCAGTGAAATATAAGCTTGTAAAAACATGGACAAAGGCAATCAAAGACGATGAAATATAACATATTGTAAATGATGATCTTTAAAAACAGTGGAAGATCTATAGTTAGGATCTCATATGAGATAACTTTATCACGTAATTCATTTCTGAAAGACGTCTTTGCTATTACTTATGATAAAACAATAAGAAGAACAACAGTAGCCGTGAAAATGGACGACCCCATTAATCTATGCCATGAAGGATGACTTAACGGACATTTAAATAAAAAAAATCTAGTGCATTAACTGACCTTATTCTGTTACCAACGGCAAATTCGAGAAACGAGAGGACAGTAATAGAATTTAATTTATCTCAAAATACCTTTCAATATTAGATACACCTTTTTTTCAAATAGCAGTCAGTTGTTAAACTTATATAATCTAATGTCTATACAAAAGCTAAGGGCGACTGACTGAGTAACTGACTGACTGACTAATCTATCGATACAGATTTATCATGACATAATATCATTACGAAAGATTCAAAATATGAAGCTACAGAGAACATGGGAATAATTCTAGTCTAAGATAACAAATAGAAACATGAAATGCTATCGGACAAAACTTAGCGCACGTTTCAGCGATATAAGCCATCAAAGTTAGCGCAACAATACTTGTTTGATAAAGCGTTATGTGATATACACAAGAATATTCGTTACTCATAAATGTTACAAACGTTGTCGGCTTTACCTAATTATGAGGTCTTATAAAACTTACCATCTCCATACTTGTATGGCACCAATCTTCCGTAAGCACTTTCCGGTGTGCCCCAAGTTGGTCTCACGAGGTTATTGCACGAACCATCGATGGACCTATATCGGGACTTTGGGCATGAAGCCGGTGGAACACTACACGTTTGTGCTGCAGGCGTCTGGACTGGCGGGAGCGGATTACTAAAACTGGATATAAAAAAAAAAAACTGCATTAATACTAACAATCTCTTGAACTATTTTGGGTACAATGTGAGTGGACCCAATATAAAGCTTTAAATCCTATGGCCCAAAAAAGGATAACCTATATTACAACTAGAGCAATGAGATGAAAATCTGAAAAGTTTGCACTCATGAAAGAAACAATATCATTTGTGACTTTAGATATAGTAATTTAAGTACGTCTAAACCAATTGTTGACCAAGAAATGGCTAATCTGAATAACATTACTAATCTTTATAATCTCAATAGCAATAGCACGTATTTTCAGTTGTCATTCATGATCGAAATCATCTAAGATTTCGAAGGAAAACTTAATATAAAGCAATTTTTACTTTCATCTTCAATGACCTTTGGTGGAAAATTATTCATTCTTCTCATACTATGTTACCGGTGCTACATGAGCAACTGTGTATGCAGCTTGATCACACCGGTCGTTAATCTATACTAAAATTATAAAGAGAAAAGATTTGATTGTTTGTTTGTTTGCATCGAACAGGCTGCGAAATCACGACCGATTTTAATAATTCTTTCAGGAAGCTACATCAGACTCGAGTGACATAGGCTAAAAATTAGAAATGGAAAACAATTAGTTATTAATAAAGTATCAATTAATATTATTTAAACTAGCACTAGCTGGATTTCAGTTCCGTGTCCTTATTAATTAAGTTAGACATATAAATATTAGGCATTAGTGACACAAACTAATTTATTAGTTGTTATAGTGATAGAAAAATAAGTAATATATTACAAAAGCTTACAAACTACGAACATAATTAAGGTTTTATTAGATTTTCATAATTTGATAATTATAAAAAACTAATTTAATTTTAATTTAACAGTAAATTACTTGTACTTGACAATATAAATTAAGTTCTACAAATATTTTGGATAGTATAATAGGCTAAATAAGTACCAAAAAGACTTTCAAGAGAAAATTTCAAAACTCTGTTTATAACAGGCACTAACTAAGGTAAGGATATTAACCTTGGGTCAGCTCCATCTTCTTGTTCCTGGTACTGTTGTGACAGACTGCTGAGGACAAGAATATCACAAGTGCTATATTACAAGACAGTGCAACATTTATTCTTAGTAACAAGTGATAAGGTGCATTATTGTTACAGAGTTATTCACAAATTGGTTTTATACATCAGACTGTGTTATGGAAAACATTTTTAATTTTTTTTTAATTTTCGTATAATCTTTGTATTGGCACTTATTGCTATTTTTCTCGGAGATCCTAAATAAGTTTATAAAATTTTCCTTTTACGTCAGACCAAATTCCTATTATTGATTTAGAACTTAATTATCATCACATAAAAGCTTTTAACAAGCTTTATATTCAATAAATGCTACATCAGGTAATTCACAACCCCTTAATTTTAAATCTCTGAATAGTAATAAGCACAGAATAAATAAAAATTAATAAGAGCGTGGAAATCAAGTGAAAGCGTTTCCGACTTGTTATGACAACATAATTTTAAAATTTACATAACGATATTAGGTATATAAACCGACATTATATCTTTAATTTTGAGTTAAACGAATGGGAAATATTTATTTAAAAAATAACTGTAATATACTTTTAACTGTAATTAACATTTACGTAATCTGATATAATGCCCTGTATAAGTATTTTGTCAGTTATTTTAGTGATCTAAATTACGGCGTGACACTTTATAACTCTTTATTGTTTTAAAATACTTTAAATTTTAAAGGAACGCTGCATCTGTGCTAGCGACTTAATAATATACTAAAACGTAATGCAACTAGATAAAATTTGTCAACGATTTCGTAAATAGCGCAACTAATATTCCTCTTTGTAATAATAAAAATTTCCACTCGCAACTTAGTGTTGAGTTGGTCACGTATATATTTAATTGTCATTCAGCGCGTATAATGTTACTGAATACCATTTTATTTACAAACGAATTTCCACATCGGCATTTCAATAAGCGAGGCTATCAAAATCGAAAACAGCCTTTTATATGGACGAAATTTTACTTTTGCTTACAAATTAAGCTTCATTTGTATAAATAAATATATAGAACGGGTCAATAGCCGGTGTAGTTCTGTGTCGATAAAAAAACGGATATCTTCTAACCATTTATGTATTTGGCAGACTATTGTCTGATACCCTCCGAAAGTAAAAGGTTCACTAGACAAATGAAATAAGGCTGTAGTTATATTGGTGGCAATTTTGATGCACAAACTACGAGTAGATTAATTTAGGTTTAATCCTGTCAAGCTGCATTTTTAGTTCTGTAAAATATGTTTTTCTATTCTTACGTATTCTTTATGTTTAAGATATATCTATTCTATGAAAATAGAATAGATATATCTAAAAACATATTTAAATTAGATATTTTTAGTTAAGTTCATGTTGCAAGTCATTACCTAATTTTAACTGAAACTTAGTTGTTTAAACTTAGTATAATCGCCAATTTAACGCCACAAGACACCTGTACGAGTTATAACTTATTGAGTAATAAATAACAGATAAAATATATAGTGTAAACATATAGTGTATTTACAAAAGCGATAAAATTTTAGTTATGCAAGTAGACTCGTAGAAATTCCTTGATTTTTGCTTTAAAATTAGTAACCGGTACAATTCCTATGTCGTTTGCTTTTAAGACTTTTGATGTGTAACTCTTTATTAAATGCTTATGGAATAACAAATTTTGGCTACAGGGCTAAAATAAACATTTATTTTAATAACGCAATGAAACTCTTTTGATACAACTAAAATTTAATCATGGTCATAAACAGAACTTAGACGTAATCGAAATTTTCTTCAAATTGTATAATCAAAATTAATTAAACTGTAGTCAGCTTATTACAATTGTTTTAATAGTTAATGTACTGGAATACTTTTATTTAAGTAAGTACATTTGTACCAATACTTTCTCAACTCATTTGTATTTTGATTTTTTTTAATTTATATAAGCTATTTGACGTTGTGCCCAAATAAGAAATCCATTTCAAACCTTCATTCAGGTTATTTTACCGTCCGCGCAACATACAAAACCTTATTCGTGTGTTAACTCTTTCTGACATCGCTCACCCGAATCCATTAACTGGTAATCTTTGCGCAGCAGAACCTGAAGAGATGTAACGTGCGAATTCCGCTCCAGGTCCATTGATTTCATAAGGAGATCCTATGCTGCTCAAGAAAGAGTGCACGGGAGACTGGTAGCTGCCCAGTGACAGACTTTGTGTGACGCCACAAACGGCGAGCAAGATATACACCTTGCTCATTTTAACTGAAACAAAGAAATAAAAATAGATGAATAAAAGCTCTGGTGTAATATCAAAACTTAGAAACTACTAGCGCCATCTTATATAAAGATATCCAAACTTCTTGGCCTTGACGCATTGTTCTTATTTTAGGTTATGCGTTCTTATTTTAAGGTCAGCTTACTTTGAAAAATATCTGTTTCATCCAACCCTTGTGAGATTTAAAACAATCATTAAATAAACGATTACTTTACAATTTACGCATTATTTTCAGACCATTTTTTAGTTTTTATATGAGGTAAATTTAATTCAGAAAATAAATGCAAAATTTATCAAATATAATAATTGAAACAAATTTTTATCTTTATGTAAAGTTAAACAGCCGTAAGTAATATTTATAGAAATATTTCTCAAAAATATTTGTAAAAAATATTGTAAATGCTGGTTGCGTGTTTGCCAAACATTGATGAAAATACGGTCTTTAGTAGCGAAAAAGTAACATGTGCCTGAAAAATTCGTCAGTCCTGTTAGGTCCAGGGTAGCTCAGTGGTTAGAGTGGATTATTAAGCATTTTCCATTAAGAGTTTTTTCCAGTATAGCATTGTGAATGCGATTATATTAAAAAAAATATATATTTAAAAAATTTGTTAGAAGGTATTTAACATTATTGACAAAAACATACAACAGAATATTTAACTTTAAATAGTAACTTAAAAATATGAATTGTTTTTTTTTATCAAATAAATTAAAAATAATAATAAAAAGCAACATATTATGCTTACAGAGGCAACAAAAAGAAAATGCAACTTTTCATATAACGGCCCGTGGTTACAAAGGCTTTTATTCGGAACAGAGAACTGTTGTTGTTGGCAAAGGATTTATCGATAAAAACTTTCAAAGCGGAATCCACAACAAAACGAACTTTTCTTTTTGTCTCGGGTCTGGGTGGTTTTGATATAGACGCCATTTCTGATTTGCATAACCGAAACGCTTTCGCTGCCGCAGAACTTTTTTTAATCTGTTGTTATATTAGGACATTATTTGTGACTATTCAATTTAAATGCTACATTTTTATTTTCATTACTTTTTTATAATTTAAATGAACACACAGTAAAAGTAATAGAATAGCAGAAAAAATTGGAACAATTATTTTAGTTATTATAATTTGTAGATAAACCAGCTGATCTGATTTCGATAACATATTTATGAGACCACCTTAGAAGTTTATGCTTCCGAAAAATCTATCTATCTATCAACAATTTTCGGAAAATAGGTTAATATACGTAAACATGTAATAACTTTAAATATTTGATATCGGAAACCAATAAAATAGAATAAAAAACAGTTTACGTTCTTAAATTGTTTATCGGTGAGCTTCTTTGACTATAATTGTGATTCGATTGACGAAAATACTATTTTACTCTTATATTTTCTAATATTGCAATGGAAAGTGACTTCATATTTTAATGATATCATTTTTCAATCTTGACCTGTATGAAATAAAACAGGGAGAAAAAAGCAGCCCTTGCCGAGTTTCATGCCGGTTCTTCTCGGTACAAGAATATAATAAAGATAAGATATAATAAATATTCTATAGTATTACCTAACTGTAAGTTTTCCGAAGATATTGAAAGTAAAATAAAATAAACGAGGTCTCCCGCTGTAGATTTACGAACTGATGACGTAGCTCTTGACTTTCACAAGTGCTTGTAACAGCCTAGACTGAATAAATAATTTAGATTTGATTTGATTACCAAATATATTGTTATTATTACGTTGTGAAAAAGCAAAAAAAAAAAAAAACAATTTGATTTAAGTTACGACAGTAAGAATTCCGAATACGTTTTGAAGACTCAATTAGCCTTAACCGAATTAATATAACACTTATAATATAGCGCCGAAGTGCTAGTTTTATATGCAACTATTTCTTGATAACAACATCAAATAAATTATTTCACTATATTTGATTAGCGGATACAGCAACAGGTGATTTTGAAGCGAATTTAGTTCAAATTATTTTTTATTTATTACTCATAATTTCGAACATTTGAAGAGTGATTTCGCTGTCATTAAACTTAATAATGTCCGAATTATTTCTCTGACAATTTACTTTAGAATTGTTGGCTAACTATGACAGTATATTTAGAAAGGTCAAGTAAAAGCATGATCGATAAATATAAGGGATTATTGATGTCGACACTAAACCATGAGTATTAATAGACACAATGTTGTATCGAAACACTCGATAGAATTAAAACCTTCTTACCTAAATTCTTTTACAAACGAAAAGAGAAGCATATAAAAATTATCTCCGTTTAATTTTGTACTTTCATTAGCATGTTTTGTTACATCATCGATATGTTATATGTATTTCTATTTTAATTGCAATAATTTGTTGTTCCATAAAGCCAAGACTATGTCTAATTGCGTTTCAAAAGGTGTTAATTATTAACTCAGTAATTAATATTTATATTCAATTATTCAGTATCACAGGCATTTGAAACAAATATTGATATTTCTTAAATCAAAAAATGTTAAGTTTATTTCAGCTTGTCTATTTAAATATTTACTTATTATAAACTACTGTGGAACTTCCCGAAACGCCCTTTGTTACACTTTTCGAGTTGATTAATTACACTTCACTGCTGTTTACATCTACCTCGATTCGAGCACCCTTCCGGGTATATTATCTGTGCTTCCGGTATATAAAATTATAATTTTAGTTGAACAAGTGACGTGACATGACGTTTGGGCACGAAAGACTCCTTTCATAAAGCGTTTTAGCTTTACAGCGTTGTTCCTCTTTTTGGAGTCTTGCCTCGTCTTACTTATCCCTTGTCATATCCACGTTTTGTACACCAAATGGCGTAGTAAATATTTGTATCAAATATAAAGGAAGTATTTGCACTTCATGTTGGTAAATAAAATATTTTTATTATTAAATATTAAGCTGTGTTGGACATTAATGCTTTATAATAAGATTAAATAATGTTTGATGACCAACGCATCTCTTCAACATGACTGCGGATTTTAAGTTAATTTAGATTGTATAGACCTCTTCTATGAACCTTCTTAGATATTTATTTGGTATTACTTAAAGGGATAAGATCTGTTAAGTCGTAAAGCTTAAACATTTTTGTGAACATAAAAGGGTCATAATCAGAGAGGAGAGTATTTAATGTTTTCAAATATCTCAAAAATTAAGTTTCTATTTGCATTATTTTTATTTTATCATTAGCTTTTTCTTGGTGTTTTTTATAAGCTAAACTGTCATATTATATTAGTTTTTTCGATTTCCTTTTCTCTTCATTCTTATCGTTGCCCATGATATTCGTACTCAACCTTTATTACTTAAAACCAAAATTTGGCATACTTTTACCTTTTAGAAACATAAGAGTATAATTGTTCTCAGATTATCAATTAAGAAACGCCCGTCTCATTTCGGGAATGCCTGCCATATCCCAAAATCGCCGGTCCCGTTATGATTGTTCAATAAATATTTTCATGTCACGCTTGACGCTATCGTGTAGGATATTAGTTTTAAAGGTTATGATTGTTAGATAAATAAGTCATTGGTAACATGGATAACATTGTCATAGCAACACACTTACACAGTATCATAATGGCATAGATTATTAACTAAATAATAATAGAGAGTAAATTTTTTGCAAAAGCAATGCATATTTTCGAAAAACAAATTACCAGATAGCGTTCCCGTATTAACAGGGAAATAAAGTACGCTTCACAAATATCAAACTAAACGGTATTTACCAACAAAATCAATTATTTATTCTGTAAACACTACACACGCCTCTTACTTTGACTATCGAACTACACACTGCCACCTTGGGTACTTTAATTTAATTACATCGAATAAGATCTACTGGATAAAGATAATAAGATCTACTGGATACAGAATGATTTGATGAATTAAACCGATATGAATTTAGAAGAAGGACGCATTCCCGGAATGACTATTTAAGTCTATTTTTGTTTAAAATCAAGTATAACATTAATAAAGATAAATAACCTATTTGCCTTGTTATTATGCACAAAATTTTATAGTAAATAAATTGTAACAAAATGATGTTATTTTATTAAGAAAATCATTATCAGATCTAATGCTCAACTCTCTGACTTTGACCCATGGCCCTAAACGTATACTTACTTTAGACTGACTACAAAATTCGAAAAAGAAAAATAATACGCTTTTAAAACCATAATATGTATGTTTAATAATATTTAAGACCATATTTTGTATAAAGTTGCATAATAATTACTAACAACTTCATAAATAATCCTCGCAGTAATAAGAAACAATAACGAAAATAAATGCGTTTTATTTTATGTAACATTCGGACGTTAACGCCTTACATAGTGACCAACATGTTCAATTATTACTATAAATAGCAAAGTTACAAATTTCGCCATACAGTTGCGAATTGGTATTTTTTTAATCCCTTTAAGAAGTTCGCATTCAGTCCACAACTCGTGACCACTATTTCCTGTCTACTTTCATTTCATAATCAGACACTACGATTTCAGTACTCGTTATATTTTATATATATAACGATTTTATGTACGGGTTTTAGTCTTTACCGCATTCTACTGTTCTGTGCAATCTCACTGGTTGACTGGGAGAGAATGCCTCTATGGCATTAAATCCACCATTTGCCCTTAGGTAATAAAGAATAAATAAATAAACAAGTCCATATTTCCTCCCTCAAATTAATTTAAAATATAAAATTTAATCAACGGAATTACCTAACATAATATTGCAACAACGAGTCGCTGCAAATTTTATTTCAAATAATCAGCAACAATTTTATTTTCTCAATGTTGGAGTAAACTGAACAAATAATCGAATCTTTTAAATCTAATAGAAATCAAGATAAAATAATAAACGCGAAACAGACTTTCAAAATAACTCTACTTTAATCGCAAATGGATAAAAGAATAATGAACGGTTGATTTAAATAAATTACAATCACTAAACTAAACTTCAGAATCGCAACATCATT